CTGCCCGGGGCTCCGAAAGGCTAAACGCGACGGCGTGTGTGCGTGTGCGTGTATGTGGTGCCTAGTGGGGCCCGGTTTGGATCGCTATGCCCCCTCCTCCCTCCTGCCCTGCCTCAATTCTGGGCTGCGGAAGGGAGTCCGGTTCCCGAGGTATTGCTGCTCCAGCAGGAGGCGTGTAATTGGTGGCAAGGACTCCGCCACTAGTCGTCCTGGCTCTCCGCTGCGCGGGCCCTGTACCCTCTCCTCCCTCTCCCCGCCCTAGTCCCAGGCTCGCACCCTCACACATCCCCCTTCCCTGCCGGGGGCACGCTGCGGCGCGGAGTGGGTTTGCAGTCCCCGCCCAGGTCGCGCCGCTTCATGCTCTGGGGAGAGCTGCGGGCCTGGATGGCGAGGCTTCTAGGGCAGTCCCCGGCGGCACAGATCGGGCAGTCGGGAGGGGAGGACTAGGGACAGGCGCCGGTCGCTCAGGGACGTACTCAGACACACAGCCACCATCGCCGGGAGGGGCACACACACGTGGACAGAGAAACAGGCCCTCGAACCCCGAACGCACTTCGACAGTCCGGGCACTTAGACCTGAGGCTCACGCTCGACACAACTGGAAGCGTCCCCTACTCCCCACGTGTGGAGAGGCGTGTGCAGCCTGGTCTACGCAGCCGCTGCGAAGCTGGCGCCCCAGGTCGAGGGTTTGGGAGCGGCGCTGTTTTCACCCTCTCCTGAGCCCGGAACCCTCTTCCCACGAAGCAGAGTCGACAGGCTCCGCAGCTGGCCCCGGTCCCAACTGCCACACAGTGCTCGTGCCCCCTACCATGTAGTCCTGGGGTAGGCGGGGCTGGGAGGAGACCGCGGCCAGGCGTAATGTAAGGACAGAAAGATGGAGGGTACGCAGGTGTAGGGAAAACCGCAGAGGCGCCTGAGGTCTGAGTCGACGACTGGGGTTCGCAGGTGGGCTGCGGGGGGTGAAGGCACACAAGCTGGAGGCCCTGTCATTTCTGTGCTTGCAGAGGGTCCTGCCTCTCCCTGAACTCTAACCCGGAGTCCCGATCTGTGGGTGGGGAGCCCCGCCGCCTGAGGCTCGCCCCTGCGGGTCACACCATCTGGAGTCTCCCGCCTCCCACCCGGACCAAGGGAGCCGATCGCTCTTGAGCAGGCGAAGATCTGGGTGGAGAAAGGGGTCGGGAGATGTACCGGTTGCGGCCAAACAACGTCTCGCTCGCTCCAGAGCTGCGGCCCTGTGGAGAGGCGGGAAGGGGCGGCGGCTACGCCGGTCTCGCGCTTTCCCCGAGGCTGGCCAGGTTTGTGATAAAATTAGAGAAGTGTGCAGGCGCGGAGTTCCCCTGCCCAGCTCAGGCCGTGCTTTGGCGTCGGGCTGCACGGAGGGCGGACCGCCGCGCTGGAAGAACGCGGACCCTGGGAAGGCCGCGTGCGACCGTCCGCGCAGCGTCCCTGCCGCTAGCTCAGCTCCGCTCTTCGCCAGTTTCGCGACTGACAATTATATTCTCATAACCACCTGAGAGCTCTCATTTCCCCCGAGCCGAGGAGAACCGGGGGATCATAAGAAGGAAAGGGAGGGGCCATAAGCGGAGGCACACTACTGAGAGCAACAGATAGCAATAAACACGCAACAACGTCTCCCCAGTTATCCGAATATTTTGGTGTGGAAACCCCCGGAACAGACGCCCCCCAAACGCTTCCTCCCAATGGTTTCTGGGCTTCTCGCAGGAGGTGGCCAAATAGCGAGGCAGGCGAAGGAAGAGGCAGGGCACGACCAGTAACAATGTAACCAAGACCCGCAGAGCCGGTCGCCTCCTGCTTTGTGGAGCCTGCAGGCACGGGTGCTGGAGCCCAGGCTGCAGGGAGGACCTCAGGTTTTCGCGGAGGGGAGTGACAGACCCACGCGGGGTCGCAGACGCGGCTCGAAGACGTCGGAGAGACTGAGCCCGCAGGCGGGAAAGGCAGGAGCACGCGAGAAGGGCAGAAAACCAAAGGAATCTCGAATGTCGGGGTCGCCATTCTCCCAGCCCCTAGTGTACCTACGCCTGGAATTGTTCAAAACAAGTTGGCCCAGAGCCTTGGGAGGGATGAGAGGCTCCCAGAAACAACACCTCGCCCAGGCAAGAGTGGAGCTCCGCCAGGCGCCAAGCAGAGTTACTGGGATAAATAGAGGAGCTCTAGGCTCGAGTCCCCCACACCTGGGTCCAACCCAACCCGAGCCCTTCAAAAGCCCGGCAAGTCACATGATCTCTTGGGCCTACAGTTACACACTGTAAAAGTGTTTGATGCGTCTGATGATTCCTTGAGATTGTACCCTGCCCTCACCTTACAGAACAGGAGCTGGGGGGCCTGTATCCCCTTTCCCCAACCTGGGTCTCAGCAGCAGCCAGTGTGCAGCAAGGCCAGGCAGAGGCAGGGGCTGGCAGCAGCAGCTGCTCCTTACAAGGTCTTGCCTGGAGCATTAGAACCAAGATATTAGGGCAGCAAATGCCTCAGCCAGTCTTACCCTGAAGCTGGGCAGGAGGCTGGAGCCTGGGGAACCAGGAGAGCACTGCAAGGAAGCAAGCCACGGGTTCACATTTGCCATTTTAAAAATGAAGACATTCATAAGGTGAGATGGAGGAGGAGGATGCCAGTGCTGTTTTTCTCTCCATTTCCTTAGACACTAGCAGAGCTGAGGTGGTTGGAGCTGGAGGGTGGTCGAGAGTGTGGGGTGTCTTTGAGTGTGAGAGATCTCCATGTAGCAATGTGCAGATAAAATAAATCGGCTAAATCTAGCAACGCTAGGCATGTGAGTTTATCTGGACTCATGCAAGAAACTGCTCTCCATCGCCTCTTTTTTCTGGAGAGCCCTATCACCCCGGAAATTCTGATTCCAGGGCCACTAGTCCCTGCCTAATTTTCTGTCCATGGTTTGAGGACTGACCTCTTCTCTCTTTCCCAAGGACAGTCTGTTTATGCAGACCCAGCACACTAGGTAGATCCCCTTGGTCTGAGGTCCCAGAGAACTTGCTCTCACAGGATCTGAGCAGCCAGACCTGCCTTCCACCCTCCTCTGGCTTGGGAGAAGAGAGAAGTCTATTACGAGGATTCTGTGACAAGGGTTGCCCCCAGCCCTGCTCTATCTTGTTGTAGGAGCCTAGGTGAGCCCCTTCCCCCATCTGAGCCTCTGTTGCCCCACCTATGGAATGAGAGTTAGATTTACACTAGATTATCCCATAGATCGGAGCTTGCTGTTAGATGAAAGGGAGAATTCATTCACCCTCACATCAGCCCTGTTAGGATACAGCCGGCAAGGGCTGCAAATTTCCTCCCCCACTGGTCCCAGCACTTATCTTATCTACAGGGGATCTAGTTCAGCACAGTGACTGGGGAGGGTTAGATGGCAGCTGTCACCTAGTCGGGGGCTAAACGAGGCCTTGAGATCCAGTTGGGAGACTACACCCCCCCCCCCCCAACCGCGTTCCCTCTCCGCAAAAGTCTGCAATGTGCTCTCAATACCCTCTTCATGAATAGCCTAAAGTGATGGCTACTTTTACATATTAGTCACCAGGTAGGTGTTTTTCATCTCATCTTTACAGAGAAACAGAGGCATGAAGTGTTTAAGAAACTTAGCCAAGGTGACGGAGCTGCTAAGTAGTGAAGCCAGGATTCAGCAGCCTGATTCCAAGATCCCTGCTCTTAACAACTATGCAGAGCAGGAAACTGAGGCTGGGAACGGGAAGTAACATGCAGACCGTCACACAGCCTTCTTGACAGCAGAGTGCAGCTGGGTCTCAGACCTCGCACGCCCGAGCTTTGACCACTGCGCGGCGCTGTCGGGGTAGCAGCCCGTCCATCCTCTCAGTTCTTGCCCACGTCCAGTGCCCATCTCCCCTTTCAATCCCCAGAGGTTGAGATGGTCCCAGTCTGAGCTGGTGTTACTCATTGCTGGGTTCCTGAAGGGAGGCCAGGGGAGAAAGAGGCCTAATGGAATGGGCAGGAACCCGGCTGGCGAGAAAAAGGGCACAGGACCAACCTTGTGTGCACAGGATCCTGAGAGATGGAAGCAACACTAGCCAGGGGCTGAGGTCAGGGTTCTTTGAGGGAGGTCTCCGTGGGGGTTCTGCTGCCTGTCTGTAGAGCCTACAAGTCCCGCCAGAAAGTTGGGGGGCAGCCCTGCAGTGGGACGGGGGGGTGGAGGAAAACGTGAAATTGAGCGAGGGATTCCCCGACCCACGAGCAGATACTCACACAAATGCAGGGTTTCCACAGGAAACGGAGACAGAGATTCACCAAGGGCGAGAGAGACACAGAGTCACAGACGAGACAAACGGACACCAAAATAGAAAAAGGTCAGAGTAAGGCAAACTCGGGGCGATGGACCGGCCGGCGCTCGCAGAATGCGGCCGTAGCGCCGCAGGGAAGCTTCGTGGAGGAGGCGAAGGGCCGGCGGCGCGCTCCCCGGGTCTCCCCGCGCACACTCCCGGGTCTGGAGTCCCGCGTCGCGGCAAGGGGATGGGTGACGGGGTCCTGGCCTTGGAGGAGAGGAGAGGAGCGCAGCCGGAATCGCTCACCTCTCCGAGGCCTGAGGCTGAGAGCGCCAAGTTCGCTCCTCGCGATCACTCAAGTGCGTCTCCCCTTGGGCCGGAAGCCGCTCGGGCTCCGGCGGGCCCCGCTCGGGCGCCGTTGGTCCGGGCGTCTCAGGCTCCCGCTCGAGCTCCAACTGCGCTTCGGCCTTGGTGGCCCGGGCGCTGCCTTGGGGCGATGATGAGTGGGGGCCGTCGGTACTTCTCCCGGCTCCCGCTGGCACCCGCGTGAACCTTAACACCCAGGGGCTGAAGGCACTGAAGGCAGCAGCTCCAGGGACCGGAAGGTTTGCGGGATCTGCGGGGAAGAGGAGGACCCGCCTCCGGCCACCCGAGCCGAGCTCCCGCCGCGGCGGCTGTTTGTTCCCGCCGGGCCCCTCCGCGGAGGCACTGCGCCCGCCCCCTCCCGCCCCGCCCCAGCCCGCTTAGGGAGCTCCGCCCCGGGCTCGCGCTCTTCCGCCTTAGGCAGCCGCTGGGCGGGAGGGACTAATCCCCCGAGCCCCCACCCGGGGGGACTGGGGGCCGAGACCGGCCAGGGTAAGGGGAGGCCTCAGCTCCTTCCGCCCGCGCCCCGGCTGCAGGCGCCCGCTCGGGGTCGCGGGGCAGGGGAGAGAGCGGCCGGTCGGGTACTCCCCGAGAGGTGAGAGCGGCCGAGTTGGGCCACGAGGGGGCGCTGCGAAGCTGGGGGACACCCCTCCCTGCCTGCCTCAGTCCCCCGCCCCCTCCCCGCCCGCGCGCAAAACACACTCGCCCCAGAGGCAGCGCGGCGGAGCCGGAGCCGCGGCCGGAGCGGAGCCGGAGAACGGCGGTGGTGGCGGCGGCACCATGACCCTGGGCAGCTGCTGCTGCGAGATCATGTCCTCCGAGAGCTCCCCGGCCGCGCTGTCCGAGGCCGACGCAGACATAGACGTGGTGGGCGGCGGCAGCAGCGGTGGGGGGGAGCTCCCTGCCCGCTCCGGGCCCCGCGCCCCCCGGGACGTGCTCCCCCATGGCCCCGAGCCTCCCCCGGAGGAAGCCGAGGCGGACGCAGCTGAGGACGAGGAGTCGGGCGGCTGCTCGGACGGCGAGCCCCGCGCTCTAGGGCCCCGGGGGGCGGCGGCTGCAGCGGGA